AAATCTTTTTACCCAATTTACCTTGAACTTCAACTATCTTAGACTATAATATTCATAGTCGTCTGCTTTCTTTGGTTCATAAGGTATAACAAGTTTGTATGCTTTACCTTCTTCGAGTTTTGAAAACCTTCTGTCAAAACTTTCTTTGACTGCTAACAAACCTTCTATGTCTAAGTCTTCAAATTTCGCACCATTTTAGTCACAACAGCAAACTTAACTGGTTCGATGTTCCAAACTTTGCTGAATGAAGACTTTTCAAAATGGTAGAAGTAAACATTCAAATATGTGAATGGGTCTAGTTCTTCTTTAAGTCCTGACATGTACTTGTTGACTGAGATGAATTTCGTCATCTTTTCTATCGGATAAAAAAATATTTTTTTTTAAAATTTACTCAGAAAAATTATTTCTTTGTATATACGCCGTTCTGAACATCTAAAAGACTTTTGACATTTGCCAAGAATGTTCGTTTAGAAGCTGCCATATAACCATATTCTTGACAATACTGTTTATACGAATCGTACAATGACCTTTCATCTAAACACTCAAAGTTAGTCTCATCTATAAACAGTTCATATACACTCTTGTTTGCTTCTAACAATGTTTGTCTTTCTTCGGTATGTGAATTTGTCTTGGATTGAACTTTGAAATATCTAATGTCATGAAATATGAGAACAAGTGGTTGTAAAAGTTAGGTGTCAAAGTTTCTGCTAAGTCGTCAAAATATTCTGTATCTTGCATATGAGAATCTGACGTTCTGACAACTACATATCTTCTGTCAGAACTTTCTAACTTCATCGGAACAACATTGTTTGAAACCATGATGAAATTTGCAACATTTTCACAAACTCTTTGGTCTTTATATTTTCTTTCAACAACTCCAACTTTGTCTGTTATAAGACTCTTCAAAGCATCTGAGTTTAAAACCTTTGTTGTATCTATACTTTGAAGTTCGTTACATACTATAAGTTTCATATTCTCTATTGAAGAGTTAAATTTACCGCAGATGTTTTCTAAGTTTGTCATAAGGGTTCGAATAGCCCTCTAACAGTTTGCATAAGATATCTGTAAAGAAAGTGTTCTTACCAGTTCCTTGTTTTCCAATTATAATGAGAGCAGTTTCATTTTTAGCACTTGGATGTTGTAAGATGTTTGCAACCAACATAAGATATACTCATAGACTCTTTCGTTTCCATTGCATATAATTTCTTTGACATGGTCTAACCAAGCTTCTATAACATTTTCTTTCCATTCTACTTGTTCGTATTTATATCCAGTGAAGATAGAATAGAAGTTTGGAGATGGTGTATAGAACTTTATACCACGAACTGAAAAATCTTCTAACTTTGACAATAAGATATCCCAAGCATCTAACATCTTCATACCAACTTGTACGACTTTTATTTTCTTAAGTTTCTGTCTACATTCTTGTTCTGAAACTATGGTTGCTCTTGGTTTGTTAAAGACAACATCCCATTCTTTCATGACATAACATTCTGGGGCAGAGTCGACGTAAATGACTAAACGTTTCAAATTCTCGACTGCTTTGTTATAGTCTCGAAATGGACACATATTTCTGAAGGCTTGGAAGTCATAAAAATCTGAAACGTCTATTCTGTACATTTTATAAAAATAAAAAAAAATATTTTTTTTATTCTTGACTTTGTTGTTGCATTTGTTCCATTTGTTGCATTTGTTGTTCTTGAGCTATTTGTTGTTGAAGTTGTTCTTGTAATACAATACTTTCACCAGTTGCATCTTCCAATTCGAAACTTTCTGCCGTCATTGACAAATACATAGGACATAAAAGTTTTACAGGAACAAAGTTTGCGTCAACTAAGGTTAAGTTTATGTTTGCTAAAGTGTTTGAGTTTACTAAAGCTGAAAATTCTGCATTCGAATGAACAATAGGCAAACCAGCAGAGAAAGTGTTGTTTATACGCATGAGTATCTTTTGGTCATAGTAGTTTCTGTCGACATTCGAATAGCACTTTGAACCTAAGTTTTGAAACAATATATAAAATAGGTGTACTTAAAGTCAATGGAACAGACAAACCTTGTATGACACCTTTTCCTGTTATAGGAAACTGTTGGTAGTAAAAACCAGATATAAGTTTTGTATTATAGCTCATATCGTTTATAGTAAACTCAGTCGGACATCCAAACATAATGAAACCTGCTCTAGTTGCAGCACATGTTACATCCGTCCTTAAAGTATTAAATAAGTCAACAAAACCTGTTGGTGGTATATCTGAGTAAGTATCTTCAAAGAAGTATTTTTACCATTCACAACAACAAAGTCTTCTGGTGTCAAAAGAGCAAAACAGGCTTTAGTCGTCATCGTGTTTAAGTTAGTTTACAATATCGTCCTTGAGGACTTTGTAAGTTGTTGTTATAGAATTATATGACTCAGGGTTTTTAGTCGTAATAGTATAAACCACTATGTCTTCTGCCATTTACTTAGCAAGTAAATTTTAATGAAATGTTGTGGTCGTCAAATATTTTTATGACGTCTGGGAAACTATATTTTAAGTTCAACGTTTCACCTCCTTTCATAACGTATATCTTGTCAATGACATTGTATGAAACACCACAGCAAGCAATGTCAGGTTCTATTTCTTTGATGTTTATATCGTCTGCCTCTGTCAAAAGTTTCAATAGTTTCTTTCAAAATTTCATGAGGTGCGATGACATATGAGTTCACTTTTACAGGGTTGTGTTCGACCAAGTTTAACATTATACCCAAAGCCTGACAATCTTCTCCTGAGTTTTAAGTTTTCTTTAAGTTGTTGGTAGTCGTTTCGAATATCTGCAACAGAACTTAAGTCTCTGCTAACTTCAGGATATGTTGGTTGTTCTTTTACAGGAACTTTTGTTATACCATCTTCGTCTTCGTATGGTTTCCCCACTTCAACATCTCTTTCTTTGACATTGACAACAACACTTTGACTGTTTGTTTGAGTTGGTGAATTTAACTTCACATCTGCCATCGCCATTAAACCTTTGAAACACTTACGCTTCTATTTTTCGGAAATGACATTTTACTTAGAATAAAAAGATGGACGTATTTGAGTATCTCTTCGAATTGAAGCAAAACAAAGTTTACACACACAAACAATACAAGTTCATTGATAGAATAGTTCTTTATACAAACAATGGAAAATGTTATAGAATAGCAGTCTTTGCTGAACCAAAATATTTTCATAAAGCAAAGAAAGTTGGTATAACCGAGATGGTGAAAGTTCTTGACGTTGACAAAAATATAACAACAAAACTGACCGATATTTTCTAAAGGAAAGTTTATAATACAATTTATGTCAAAACTGGCGTACTGTCAATATTTGACGGAGAGAAGTCAGTTCAAGAACAACTTACTGACCTGCTGCCAAAATCTGCTCGATGGAAGCTGTCGTTATACCAATCTGAGGAGCCCCAGCAGGTTTCATCGAACGAATCTTCAAAAGAGCATCTTCCGTGAAAAGTGCTATTGGTTTGTAAACTTCTTTGCTTTCAATTCATCTGGACCGTCTCTGTCACCAGTATATTGTATTTGAACTGTACAACAGTTGAAATACCACCCATAAAGTCTTCTGAGTCAGCAAATGGAATGCCAAGCCAAAAGTTTGAACGGTCTCCATTTGTATATTGAGTTTTTTGAGCTCCTGCATGAGTCCATACTTTCACATATGGCATAATAGAACTTTGCATTTCAGGGTTAATGGTTGTTGTGAAGTTGTTGTTAAAGTTCATAGCATCTAATGTCAAGTTGTATGACCTCATATCCTCAACTGTAGAATATTCTTCTCTTGGATAGTATTTTGCCATCTATGTTTATATGATATTTAATACCAGGGTTGTAGAACAAGAATAGTCATTTATAGTTCGTCTGAACAGTACAAACATAGTATCTGCATGTTTCATTGCAGTTGTTAAAGCAATCTGTTCTTGCACCTGGTCAGCACTTTGGTTTCCAACTTCACCTGCAAAGTCTTTGACAGATATTTGGTGTATAGGGAACATAAGTGGAACTGCAATATATTTTGGCAGCTAAAGCATTTGAAATATCTGGGTCCAACATATAGACTGCCAAGTCTGCTTTCTATTCTCTTGCATTCAAACTTTTCGCATGTGAACTTAACTGGGTCCCAAGCATCTCCAGCAGCATTGAAATAATAGTTTACTTCAGTGTTGAGGTTGAGAAACCAAGTCTAAGTCAACTTTGTTTTTGCAAAAGTCGGCGAATGACATTTTATTTGTTCCCACTACTTCTGTAAGAGTGAATGGGTCTTGTGTTGGTGCAATGACTAAGTTATTTTTGCTTGAGTAAGTTCGATAGAAATTTTTCCTGCCCAGTTTGGCAAGTATCTTAAAAACCTGAAGATGAGGAAAGATGACAAAGGAACTCTAAGTTTCAGTTTTACTTAGTGGCAGCAGTTCCATCTGAACCAGAAAGGTTAACATAAACTCCTGGAACGTTAGGGTCAAGTCTTCTTATTTTTCTCAATATTTGCATACTGGTCTGTTTGTTCTCTAGCTTGTGTTGTACTGAGTTTCTCAAAGCGAACCATTCATAGTTTGCCCATGTTACTGTTTGAACTAAGTCAGAGTTAGAATATATCTTATATCCCATGAAAACTTCTGGAGCATTATGGTATCCGACATAGAAAATTCCATTGCAACCTTTCTTGTCAGACAACTTGGCAGAAGGTTTTATTTCAATGTCTTGTTCCACGTATAAGAATGAGTTGTCATAGAAATAATATGAAACCTGTCGCAAGCAATATCTACTGTTGTTGAAGAACCTTCTCCAAACTCACCTACATTTCCATAAGAAACAGCAGTTGTATATTCGTAAGTTCCAGGAACTATTTCTGACCTTCTAATGGCATTGTCGCATTCGTTATACCATTCGGAAACATTTCCATTCATAGCATCCAAAACTGTTGGCGTTATATTCTGAGCGGCGTACATTTCATATGAGTAAAAATATAGAATAGTTGGATTTATATATCATAATAGAACCCACGTGGACCAAGCTTTACTTTCTTCCTGACTGAGTTTTTAACTCTTCTTTTTCCTTCATTGCCCTCTGCTTGAAGTTGTTGCATCTTTGCATTATGTTCATCTAGTATGTTGCAAATTTCCCATGTCCTTTTTGCCTTTTGGCTCTGGTCGCCCATCTCAGGTAACCTATATCCTAGAAAGAGTTTGTCATAGTCTGTATTTGAGTCTTTGCGTATTGTTTGCATGACTCTTTCCTGAGTTTCTGGTTCAAGCTCTTCAAACAGAGCTTGTCCATATGGAATAAGCTCGTTTCCAAATATATGTTTTTGTAGCCATTCTGGTTTTCTTTCCATGTTACCAATAATATCTTTTGTGAATGGGAAAGCTTTTACCCAATCTTTCAGTCTTGCGTCGTTTATTTCTGTAGTTGGTTTTATTTTGTCAAGGAACATGTTTTTCAATACTAACATTTCATTTGGTACTGTCCATTTGAGTTTTCTTAAATATTCATCCCTTCTCGATTCATCGCCTGCAAAGTAAGTTTTTATGACATTTTGTAAACTTTCGTTTGCAAGGTCATGTACAATAGGTTCTCTTCCTTCTCCCTCCCTAACTTTCTTTCTAAACTCTTCACCAAATATACCATCTCTATGGTTCTGTGTAGTTCTTTGAGATAAATGTTCTAGAACGTCAGGTGTTATATTTCCATCAGCCATGTTCATTTCATACTGGTCCAAAATATCTGCATGTTTCATATCTTTCAATGGCATTAAAGCCGCGCTTAAAATACCAGCTATATCTGGTTCACCATTGACTTCCATTGCGTCTACAACTTCTTGGAATGTGTGGTTGTAAGTTTATGAACCACCTATCTGGATTAGCTTTATGACCCATCTCATTGTAGTTCCATCGTCTGCAGAAACAAAAGTAGGTTTGTTTCCATCTTGGTTAGGTTCTGAATGAACTTTAAACAATGTTTCATTTCTATATGTTTTCTTGAAATTTAACCTTTTATTTTCACCGAGTTCATCCGAAGATTGAACGTTAAATGCTCGTAAGTAAAAAGGGTTGTTGTATTTGTGTACATTTTTTTTCAGTTCTTCCATTCTATGCTGGATATTTTCATCTGATGTTGGAGTCTTTTGTATGTCGGCAAACATTTTTCGATATTCTTCTACTATGTCAGCCGAATTTTTTTTAGACTCTTGGAAATATTCCATATTCTCCGCATACTCTTGTTGAGGGTCAAGATTTTTCGGCTGTTCCAAATCTTCATCTAGTTCTGTGAAGTTAGTTTCCAAAGGAAGGACTTGTTCGTTTCCTTCAGGCTCTTCTAGCTGTTGTTGCTGAACTATTTCTTCCATGTCTGGTTGTATCTGAACTTCTTCCTGTGGAGTTTCTTGTACCTCATCTGCTGGCATTTCATATATTCCGAGACCGTTTTCAACAATTTCCCTATCTACGTCATCCGCATTCATAAGCTTTTGTTCTTTCGTTCCGTCTCTATTTTTTACGCGTTTCATGACGAAAGTTGAATTGTCATTTAGCTCTGACATCAAATATCTCGGAGTAAATTCATCCATGTCATTTGGATGATATGCTATTAAATCATATCCCTTAGCGAGCTTGTATTTTCCAGGTTTGAGATTATATCCGTTTTGGTGCTGAGCCATAAAGCTAAATAGGTTCGGGTCAGTATTTCCATCCTTGAACTTTCTAATAGCTTCTTTATATCTGTCACTAAAGTCAACAGTATCTGGGAAACCACACTCTTCTTTAAGCATTTTTAAGAATTCTTGGTTTCCTTGTTCTCTACTTCTTTTATGTCCTTGCTCTGTTTGTGGTTGTTGTTGTGCAGGGTTTTGAACTGTTGGTTGTTGTGTTGGTTGTTGTGCTGGTTGTTGTTGTTGTGGAGGTGGTTGTTGTGCATGCCTGTGTCTGTGTCCATGTGACGATGTAAATGTTTTAGGTAGTCCTGGTGCAGGTGCTTCTCTTGGAGGGTTTGGTGGTATATAAGTTCCACCAGCTGGCACATATGTTCCATCTGCAGCGTAATGTCCTACCTGACTTTTCGTTTTTAAGAAAGCATTTACTAGGTCTGTTTTGGTCTGTTGTAACTCTTTTTCTTGACTTTCCACAACAGTTGCTCTAACGGCGTCATAGGCACTTTGAACTGCCTGTCTCGTTGCTGCATCTGTTATTTTCGTCATATTTTGTGCTACTTCTCTTAACTCTTTGTCGAAACCTTCAGACTTCAGTTTCTTTCCAGATGAGAAGTCGTTCACTTGTTTCACCTTACTATGAAGAGCTTCGAAAGCGTTCTTAAAGTCAGCATTTGTTAAAGCTTCATTTGAACTATCTTCATCCGCTTGTATTTTTGTCCTTATTGACCCTATAAGCTGGGCTGCTTTAGCGTTGGCTTGGGCATCTAACCAGTCATTGTTAGCTTTTATATATTCCGCGCTTTTCATTGCCTTTTGCATGGCTGCGTCGTTATTTTTACTTTCTTGTGCTAAGTTTTCATACTGTACGGTTTGGTTTTGCAACTGTAAAAGTTTTTCTGCCTTTACATTTGCTTCAACTTCTTTTTTATACTCATCGCTATCCATATATGTCTTCAGGGCTTTTTGTTTTATCTCTTCATCTTTCAGTATTTTATATTGAGTAGTATGGTTTTTCAAATTTATGACATCTTGTTCCATTTTTGCTACTTCTGCTGCTTTTTCTGACACTTTTTTTGCATATTCCTCTGTACTTAGTTCTTTCAGCTGTTCTTCTTTCTTCTTTTTCTCTACGTTTAACTCATTGAGTTTCTTTGTGTGTCTGTCATATTCTAGTTTCTTTTCGTTTTCACTTATTTGCTTCTGTATGTCTATGTTTGACTTTTTGACATCTGTTATTTGATTTTTGAGTGAACTCAAATTCATTTGACTTTGAGGGTTATAGGCTGTTCCGTCTGCAGCTCCACCATAGCCTGCCATTTTCGCTAAAAGTGCCGCTCTTAAACCTCCACTCTGTGCACCAACAACTCGGTTTAAAAGCATAGGATTGCTTGACATTTGTTGCAACATAGTGGGGTCATTCAGCATTTGTTGTTGCAACTGTTGTTGTGGTGTCAGTTTTACTTTTGGATGTTTCAATGCTCCCTTCCTCTTACGTATATTCTTACGTAGCTTACGTGGCATTTTAAGTGAAGTTAAAAAGCGGCTTTTGACAGATGTTTATATGACACTTTCTCACCTCTTGAATTTTCATGAACTTTCTTGTCTATGTTTTGTAAAGTTCTTCTTCGTAAAGACTTTGTAAAGTTCTTCATCGTAAAGACTTTGTAAAGTTCTTCATCGTAAAGACTTTGTAAAGTTCTTCATCGTAAAGACTTTGTAAAGTTCTTCATCGTCTATGTTTTGTAAAGTTCTTCATCGTAAAGACTTTGTAAATGACCCAAAAATATAATTTAGGGTAGAAGGTTAGATCTAACCTGTTTTCTAACCTCATTTCTACCCTCTTGAATTTTCATGAACTTTCTTGTCAATGTTTTGTAAAGTTCTTCATCGTAAAGACTTTGTAAAGACTTTCTCATGAACTTTCTTGTCTATGTTTTGTAAAGTTCTTCATCGTAAAGACTTTGTAAAGAAAGTTCATGAAAATTCAAGAGGGTAGAAATGAGGTTAGAAAACAGGTTAGATCTAACCTTCTACCCTAAATTATATTTTTGCCTGATTTACACTCATTGACGATGAAGTTTTGTAAAGTTCTTCATCGTAAAGACTTTGTAAAGTTCTTCATCGTAAAGACTTTGTAAAGACTTTGTTGAGACTTTCTCATGAACTTTCTTGTCTATATGTTTTGTTGAGAGTTCATCGTAAAGACTTTCTTGTCTATGTTTTGTCAAGAAAGTTCATGAAAATTCAAGAGGGTAGAAATGAGGTTAGAAAAGAGGTTAGATCTAACCTTCTACCCTAAAATATATTTTTGTCTGATTTACACTCATTGACGATGAAATCATGACAAAACTTCATCTAATTTCTCATGAACTTTCATTTCTATATGTTTTGTAAAGTTCTTCATCGTAAAGATTTTGTTGAGACTTCATCGTAAAGACTTTGTTGAGACTTCATCGTAAAGACTTTGTTGAGACTTCATCGTAAAGACTTTGTTGAGACTTCATCGTAAAGATTTTTCAAAAATTTTAGGGGCTAGAAGGCACGAAGTGCCTGGAAGCCCCACTACCTTTTTTTTTTTTTTTTTTTTTTTTTTTTTTTTTTTTAACTAGTGTTTCCTAAAAATTATACTTTACATATACAACAACAAAAGAAAAACATATTTAAATATTTAATTCATTAATTTTCTTAAAGGAGCATCAATCATTTCTTCAATCTTAACAAGTACTTTATCTGGTATATCATCTCTTGCGATGCAGCTTCTAGCAATAAGTGGGACTTCCTCCTCTCTATCGAAGATTGTACAACAAAATAGAAGTAAATTAAAATCTAAGAAGCGGATATAGTTAGGAACATCTATAAATTTATAACAGATTGCAACAAAGTCAGCAATTGTTGGATAAAAGCTTTGATATGGAAAAGAATTACTCGGGAACCAGCTTTCTCTTAGTTTAGTTGCCAAAGGAGTAACAAAATATGATACATCGACCTCTTTCAAAGATTTTGCTGATACAAGAACAGTTGATTTCGTAATTAAAGAAGTATCTGTTGATTCTCCAGTGAAAAGACCTCTTCTGTACATATCAATGAATTGTTTGCTAACGGAATATGCTTCTAAATTGCAGGAAACTGAATCAACCATGGATTTTAGCGTTGGTAAACTTCGAATAAAAATAAAACTTTCTAAATCATCTGATATTAATGGCATAAGCTTTATAAGTAAATGAGGAGCAATTGGCACATTTGTTTTCGGAGATATGATAAGGAATCCTAAAAATTTTAATCCACAAGCGAGAGCAACGTGATGAGAGTCTTTAATATGAGATTCATTGATAAGTAATTCTTCTCCTGTGCACTCCTGTGATGGTAAAGATAGAGCGTGAATGCGAATTGCAGCAGGATTCGGTGTAGTACCATAAAGAAGGAAAATTTGTGTAGAATTGAAATGTAAAGCATTGCTGATTCTTCCAATTCTCTGTAATTCTGCTGAAGGGAAAAGAACTCTTTTCAAAATCGAATTTTCATATTTTTGAAATTGAATTGTTGGATTATGATCTTTAAAGTAATCTAATGTATATACATTTCTTTGATGATCGTCAATGGGTGTATCTGGTTTTGATGTCTTTGAATCTTTATTTGGATTTGCATCTGAAGGGAGTGATAATTCAAATAGTTCTCCATTCTCCATATCAAGACTTGATAATTTTATGCGCTTTTGAAGAACTGTTTTCGTTTTATCTTGAATTAAAGTTGAAATTTCTTCTTTTATTTCAAATTTGTTAACCATATATTGAATAAGAGTTCCTATTGTATCGTGTGGATTAACAGGAACTTTTTCTGTTCCCTTTTTCCATCGAATACGTACAACTTGAATTGACTGCATTTTTAGAAAAGTGGCAAATAAAAAAAATATTCCTTTTCTCGAATTCTCTAAGAAATCATCAGTATTACCAGAAAAAAAAGTATATCTGGAAGGATGTATTGCAATTTTCGAGTATATCATGTGCTATACTGACTGCAACATAAACTATCACCAAAAATTGCAATATTTTTACTAAGAATTATCTTTGTGTGTGAATGTTTCTATCACAAAAGAAAGTAAATTCCTTGGTCAGTTGATTGTGTCAGGTAAATCATCCAAAATTTAAGAAAAATACATATTTTCAAAATCTATTGAGATCTCTATTATGTATAGAAAAACAATGAGATATACTTTCGAATAAAAAATCCGTTTCTAACAAGCTATGCTATCAATTCATTATACTAATCAATAAATTTTTTGAAATTTTTCAAAATTTCAAAAGTGAGAACAAAGAACCCGATATTGAGGAAGCTAGTAATCATTAAAAAGAAATTAATATAAGATTTATACTGTAATTTTTTATTTCTCATCAATAAATTCCTTATAAAAGAATGATAACTCTTTAGGTTGGTAAGTTGTATCTACTCCTATCCACTTTCCTTCTTTTGTAAGTCGTTCTTTCTGTAAATCAAGCTCATCTTGTAATTTTTGTATTGTTGCTTCAATTGTCTTTAAATGGTTATTTCTATCTGTACATCCTTTGATTTTATCGTCTAGTATTGTATTTTTTCGTACATATTTCGTATAATCTGCAAGCTTGACTTCGAATTCTTGATCATCTGCAAAACTAGTATCAAATTCATCATTTTGAGATGATGGAGAAGAAAGTATAGGGTTATTCTTCTTTATCGTAAGGTATTTTTGCGTTTTCTGGTCTAATAATTTTTCAATTTTCGTAATGTTGGATTTTAATGCTTTTATATCTGCTTCGACCTTCTGCTTATTAACTTCTGGAGATTTTACCTTGAGATTTGGAGCTTCTATTTTAGGGCGTGGCTGAAATCCGGAGAATTTTTGAATTTTTACTCTGTTTGTCTCTAATTGGAGTTCTAGCAAGTATGATGTTTGGGAAGAATCTAATCTCTTCTTTTCCAGCAATTCCTGTTCCGCAAATGTATCTATTTGCGTCAATCTGAACTTTTCAAGAATCTCCATTGAAGTCCGATAAAGTCATTCAACACATCATGCAAAAGTGACACACATCATACTAAACATTAAGGGTGCACACGAGAGGATCATGTAAACTTCATAATTTAGAACCTTATTTTAGGCATTATCTTGGCTACCTATTTAGGCTCGAAAAGCAAAACATATCAAAAAATACAACTTGACTCCATTATGACCCTTTCATGGAGGTAGTTTTTATCCGCTAGTATTTTCCCTTTGAATCTCTTTACAATTCGAAATCAAATTCAAACCTCAGTAGAAGAAAGGAAGAATCGACTTACTACGGTTGTAATACGAATAAATACATATATTTAATTATTTTTATTTACATAATAATTGTTTGAAGCTCATATTCCAACAAATTTTTAAATAAAAACATTAAAATGTTGAAAATGTTCATATATTTTAATAGGGTTTTGGCACTTTATTGAGGAATTACTACATACATAGTCGAACTGAACTTGATATTTTGAAATTTAAATTATTTATCAAAATTAAAATTTAACTTGAAATTTATAATTATTTAGTCATATTTTGCATAATTCTAAGTAGATTTTGTAAAAAATCAAGAAAGAAAAATTTTAACGTGCTTTATTTTTTCTTTTTTATAATAATACATATTATTATATAATTAACATATTCATAATGTTTCACCCTTTCAAAAATATAATCCTCCTCCTCTCAAATAAACGTACATACGGGTGGCCTCTTTTTTCAAAAAATTAAAATTTGAAATTTTGGGCTCAAATATTAGAGATTTTTTCAACCTTCAACGATATATGTTGTCTATATCAGACCTCCTTTCTTTTTGATATTTAACATTGTTCCTAAATCTTAGCCGTTAAGGCTGTTCTGAAAATATTTTTTTTTCGAAAAAATTCGAAAAAAATTCTTAAAATTCAAAAATCCCTTAATTCCTGAGGATTTTGGAAAAAAGTTTTTACATGAACATGTGTATATTATATGAAGTATATTGATAAGGTAAAAATCAAATTTTATTGCATATTCATCGAGAAAATAAACTAACGAATCCCTCAAAATTGAGAGGGTAATCCTCCTCCTCTCAAATAAACGTACATACGGGTGCACCCTTAATATTAAACATGTTTATATGCATACAAACAAACAAAACAATAATATAAATATCATATTACCATCCTTGAGGTTCAAGGAATTTTTTCAAATAAAATGCATCTGCATCATCGATGTTAGACTTGGAAAAGTTCATTGATCCGACATCATAGTTAAGAGATCTCCCGATATCTGCTGTATTTATCATCTGAGGACCTTTTCCACAGTGCTTAACAACGCAATTTTCGTTATCTAATCCTCTAAAATAAGCTCCTTTATATCTTTTCTTATCTGATGAAATGAGTATTATAACTCTATCACTAGGTATTGTTGATGCCTCATTTAGAATGAATTTCCTATGTCCCAAGTGATTATCTCCAGGCAAAAAAAGATCTTCAAGAGCTCTTTCAAAAATAGTATAGTTCTTAATATTGGCTGCCCTTTGCTTGCGCATTATTTCATCATATGATGGTTCGAAAGTAAAAGACTTCACAGATATTTTCATCTTCTCGGGTTTATCGCTACAGCTATTTGAAAATAGTTCCTTTGTATCAGTTTTCTCGAGAATTAAAGGATTTGATTGGGTAATCTGATCTGTGAGCTTTGTGGTCGCATCGATAATTTGGTCTGACAGTTGAACTTGTTCGATTATTTCGGATATAGATGATTCTGTGGATGAAGATGATGATGTTTTCGTTGGAAGTAAAGTGTAATCGGACGTTGTATCTGAAGTGGAAGAATCTGCCATTTCCGAATAAGTAGATTCATTGAGTTGAATTGATACTTCTTTTCGGCCATTTTCCTGATTATATATCATATTGGCCGCATTTACGAGAGTTTTTGCAGGAGATTCATTATTCAGTTCAATCCCTGCTAATGTATCATTCAACAATATAGAAACGAATTCTGCTCTCTTGGATTTATCATTTCCATACTTAGATTTGAGCATTTTGGAAAGCCTTTCTTGGGTTTGTTGAGATATCGGAAGTTGAACGAATTCTCTGAGAGTTTCTTCAACAATATCGAGGTCAGTATCATTGATTTCCCCATCATAATTATCTTCTTCATGTGGAAATTCTGTATTTTGAGGAAGATAATTAAATAACGGAAATGTTGGAGGAAAAAATGTTGGCTGTGGAGATGGAAATTGTGGTTGCTGATTTGTAACTTGCTTGTTTTCATCATTTTTCATTGTTGTTATCATCTTTGCCAATTCGCTTGCTGCATTTGCAAATTTTGAAGCTCCGTCAACAAACATTGCAGCGTCATCATAGCTGCTTCTTTGTGGTTGAGTTACATGTTCTCTAAATGGTTTGTAAATAATCTTTTCTTTATAAATTTCTCTTGTTGTTGAATTGTTTTGAGGTCTATGATGTTTTCTAGGGGGTTCTGATGATGAGTAGCTACTGTAATCACTATATCTGTGTCTATGACGATGTCTGTGAGGATTTCCACCAGAATTTTGTGGAGGATTATAATTATAATTTTGTTGTGGAGGAATTTCATTAACGGCTGGGTAATCCATTGGTGGAATGGATCTATCTACTGGAACACTTGGAGGTTGAGATGATTGATTAGTTGGTTGTGGTGGATCTCTTTGGATTATTTTTGGAGGAGGACGAGATTGAGCCGCTTCTGGAGGAACTTCGATCTGTTCAGGTGGTTCATTTGGTAATGGATCAGATGGAGGCTGAGCGAAGTTGCGGACATCATTTCTTGTTGCATAAAAAACGTCTGCAGCGAAAACGCGTAAAAGAATTCTTGATGTAGGTCGTTTTGTAAGAACAAATAAAGGAATTTCGTTTGAGGCGTTTTGTATTAATTCCCAATTGTGTTGTGAAGACTGTTCTGGCAACATAGGCCCAACTTCTACTTGAGATTTTGGAATTTTTGTAGGAAAGCAACGGGCTAAGCAGAAAGCCGCATGTTGTCCACTCATTATGTCTTCTTCAAAATTATTGATGTCTGGGATAATATGAGAAGTTGGGAATTTTGATAGCCAAATTCCAATTGCTTCATCGAGATCATGAGGACGATGTTGAAGTATATAGAATGAACGTGGAAATCTGAGTATATCATTTGTAATAACTTCTAGAGGAATAGATTTTCGTACTACATAATCCTCTAATATAAGGCAAAACTGGGAATGAATTGATATATCATTTTCTTTAAGCGTTTGTGAAGTAATTTCTGATGGTATTGTGCAGTCTAAGTCAGTTAATGTCGATAAAATTATTGGGAAGTAGTCATTGTTTGAAATTTCTGTTAAATCAAATGGATTAAATGCATAAACAATAATTGCATAAGGAATTGATGAAGTTAAATCTTGTATAGTTAATTCATTTTCAAATTTTGCATCAATATTTAGCACGTTAACTGGTTGTAGAAAGTTCAAACTTAGCAAAGGATATCGTGGAATTTCATTCTGACTGTCTAGTATCCTGTTTATCATTAAATGAATCCATTTCAAATGCAAATCAATATCTTTATCAGAATCATTCATATTTTATTTGATAAAATATATTCGCACGAAGTGTATAATACTATTTTGGTTACAAAAAGATTTATTGATATAATCGAATTAAGGAGAAATTTAATTAAGGGTGCACCCGTATGTACGTTTATTTGAGAGGAGGAGGATTACCCTCTCAATTTTGAGGGATTCGTTAGTTTATTTTCTCGATGAATATGCAATAAAATTTGATTTTTACCTTATCAATATACTTCATATAATATACACATGTTCATGTAAAAACTTTTTTCCAAAATCCTCAGGAATTAAGGGATTTTTGAATTTTAAGAATTTTTTTCGAATTTTTTCGAAAAAAAAATATTTTCAGAACAGCCTTAACGGCTAAGATTTAGGAACAATGTTAAATATCAAAAAGAAAGGAGGTCTGATATAGACAACATATATCGTTGAAGGTTGAAAAAATCTCTAATATTTGAGCCCAAAATTTCAAATTTTAATTTTTTGAAAAAAGAGGCCACCCGTATGTACGTTTATTTGAGAGGAGGAGGATTATATTTTTGAAAGGGTGAAACATTATGAATATGTTAATTATATAATAATATGTATTATTATAAAAAGAAAAAATAAAGCACGTTAAAATTTTTCTTTCTTGATTTTTTACAAAATCTACTTAGAATTATGCAAAATATGACTAAATAATTATAAATTTCAAGTTAAATTTTAATTTTGATAAATAATTTAAATTTCAAAATATCAAGTTCAGTTCGACTATGTATGTAGTAATTCCTCAATAAAGTGCCAAAACCCTATTAAAATATATGAACATTTTCAACATTTTAATGTTTTTATTTAAAAATTTGTTGGAATATGAGCTTCAAACAATTATTATGTAAATAAAAATAATTAAATATATGTATTTATTCGTATTACAACCGTAGTAAGTCGATTCTTCCTTTCTTCTACTGAGGTTTGAATTTGATTTCGAATTGTAAAGAGATTCAAAGGGAAAATACTAGCGGATAAAAACTACCTCCATGAAAGGGTCATAATGGAGTCAAGTTGTATTTTTTGATATGTTTTGCTTTTCGAGCCTAAATAGGTAGCCAAGATAATGCCTAAAATAAGGTTCTAAATTATGAAGTTTACATGATCCTCTCGTGTGTACCCTTAACGTATATTTATTGAAAGGCAAAAAAAATTTCAACAAGGTTGATGATTGAAATTTGAAGAACTCAATTTGAGATATTACACAGATAATAGGAGGGATCTGATTAGTCAAAAAATAATCCAGAAAATTATCAACGATCGAAGATTTTGACAGGCTATAAAAAGTCATGAAGGGCAATCAGAATTAAATTAATCCAGAGATGATGTTGTATAAGAATTTAAATAAATTAATTAAAAATTTACTCTTAATTTTATAAATTATATGAACACTGATCATGAACATTAAGTACTAGTTATAATTCAAAGCATATTGGCCAAATTTTTTCACAAGAAATTGAATTGAGAGCTGCAAAAATAATTCTGATATGTCAAAATCACAATAAAATAGTTTCTATGAAATCATATATCATTAGTAAATCAAGAATCAATACCGATAAAAAAAGAAACTTTGCAAATTACCTCAGCCTTTTCAGAGGATTGAGTGGCAACTCAATCCTCTGAAATAGTCTGTATTAATTTTTAGTCTCTACACTATTTCAATATAAGCTCCATTTTTAAACAGTTTTTAAAAATCGAGCATTGAAAAGTGTGATGAGACTTTCAATTTGATTGAGATTTGAAATATTCTAACATTACATTAGTTCAGCTATTGATTTACACCATTAATCTGAAATTGATCACCAGGTTTTCAATTTGACCTTTTATAAAATTTTGACATCACAATTTTTATTCATTTAAAATTACTCTATAACAAACAAATGGTTCGTTTTAACTCAAATCAGCCCTTAGGTTGACGTAAAATCGGTTCGATAATTTCAGAATACTCTCAAAACTATTCAAAAAAAGCAATGGAGATACTGCTTAAATACTTGCAACCTTTTGATTTCAACAATGAAGAAATGATACAACAATACGAAGCCCCGCTTGATTTATCCCCAGGATCTATCATTTCCCATCTTTGTAACGAATTATATCTCTTGCCTGTAGAAAAGCAAATGCTAACCAACGTTGTCAAACAAAAACTCCCTTACGCTGAAGGTGACAATACTGCTGGCGAGCGAAACCAAAAGTTAACTTTTGAGCAGCTTGTTGTCAAAATCACATCAGAATCGAACACTGATGAACTCTCAAAGGAATTTACGAAGACATTTACCCTTTTTAACTCACCCAAATATCTCCTTGCTTGCTTGTTTGCTAGATATTTCACAAATATTGCATCTGTCGATGCCAATATCACGAATCTAGAAGATTTAAGATATGTGAGGATCAAAGTTTTGCAATTCCTTATCCTTTGGATGAGCGAAACCCCATTCACCTTTGATAAGGTTCTAATTAACGCAGTCAAGTCCTTTTATAATTCGATTTCCTCTGGCCATGTCGCTGACGAAGAAAAGATCATATTAAACAGTCTCAATGATTTAATCGAATATATTATGGCACATCAAATCGATACATTAACCTCAATTATCAATAGAACAGCTGACCACCGATCTATTTTCGGTCCTAAATACGTACTCCCTGTTTTACGTAAAACTCATCCCCTTCAAGTCGCTTTGCAAATTGCCTACATAGATTCAATCATATTTCAAGCTGTCAACCCCAAGGATCTCATGGCTATGATAGGAGGACAAATTTCGGCGAACAGTTGCCCTTCAATCATGTACCTTCACCAACATTTCGACGCTCTATCTAAATTTGTTGCTTTCTCAATCATTTTCGAGAAGGCAGCCAAAGAGAGAGCAAGTATATTTGCCATTTGGGTCGAGATCCTTCTCGAGCTTAATAAGGTTAATGATTTTTCAGGTGTTTTCGCTGTCTACAATGGAATTACGCATCCAGCGGTTGCAAGACTGAAAACTACAAACAACGAGGCCTGGAAACTCATTTCATTCAGAACGAAAAGAGAGTTCGGAAGCATACAAAATATTACCAGTTTCTACAACAATTTCAACGCCTATCGTCAGGCATTACTTGTTCGTATACCACCACTCGTTCCATTCATGGGCTGTTTCCAGAAGGACTGGGTTTATTTCCAAGAACTCAACAATTTCCACCCTGACGACAGCCTGATTGACTTACACGTCATCCACACCGCATACGATCTCTACAACGCGTTCAAGAAATACCAGGAAATCAAGTACAACATCAAAGAAGACCCTGAAATTCAAATAATTTTACTCAATCTTTCAAAAGATCTTCCTGATGCTCGTAAGCTCATGCAGATATCTATGTTGCAAGAACAGCAAAATGGTTGATTTTTTATCTTTATTTATTTATTTTCCTTTTATAAAATTATTTGTTTATTTTTCGGTTGAAATTAAATTGTCACCTTTTTTCATAAAAAAATAAAGTGAGTGATGGTTGACAGTCAGATAGCATTTTTTATTGTGGATTATGATATATGGTTTTAGTAGATTATGAAAACCAAAAGAAATTCAGAAATTGCTGATCCTTCGATTTGATTTGAATTTATTGTAATGTTTTACGTCAAAATGAAATTACCAATGTTTTTTATTTGAATTTCATATTAGTAATTAGCTACTCTCAACGCATAGCCTTAATTTATTGTTAGAAATTTGAAGGACATGCAACGCTGTAATCGGTAAGATACTCTAGGTTAGAGGAATATTAAACTATATTATATGTTTATAAAACATAGTAATTCGAAAAATTAATAAAAATTTTCGAAATTATTAACAATAATATGGATAATGGGTGGATGAAAACTTTTCTGTGGCTTGAACAACTGCAGATAAAACCTTCACTATGATAAAATGAGCAAGTAACAAAATATCATATCGTATTGACTCGGAGTTCAACGTTATAGTTTCAATGAATGCTATCCTATTGAAATTTCACTCCAAGAGCGGGGAATTTTCATTGTTTAATATAATATCAGTTATTATATTTTCAATTTCTTCTATGTTAGCTCCATTTCTGCAAAGTCTGTATCTATTTCCAGACAAAACCTTTGCTTTCGTCTTAGGATTTAATGGAGAAAAGTGACGAGCTTCGAAACAAGGTTGAATATCAATAAACGCTGTATCTTCTCTTCCCATTAGAATTGCAGCGGATTTGTCTGAATCAGTGCATCCAACAAATACTCTTGCATCAGAGATTTTTTTGTATAATTCTTCAAATGAGCATTTTTCGGTGTTTATTGATTCGTATTGAGGAAAATGTTTTGATATGCTTGAACTAATAACAACTTTAGTAGAATTTGCATGTTTTTCACCAAAAACTTGTCTTTGTATCGGTAATTGACTATATCCTTGAAATTCAGCTTGACTAAAGCAAGTGGGCTGTGAAAATAGTGAGATATTTAGTTTTGTTATGTTTTTAAGCATTTCTGACTGAGAAATATTTTCGAAATAAAATGTTTTGTTATTTGTGTCGGAAAAACCGAAGGACATATCGAGTAGGAAGTTGACTCCTGTTTTGTTTATATTAATATAGTTGACTGATTCATTTATTACGGAAATATTATTTTGACGAGCAAAAAAGGTCATTGTGGTGTTATGAATGGTTAACGGTAATGCCTCGATCATGTGATTGTTTAATAATGTAACATCGAATGCGAAAAACAAGTGTATTGATTCATTTGCGATGCAAAAGTTATCAATCATGTATCTTGAATTACGCATGTCAATAATAGTTGTTCCAACTACATATGTATTAAAGCGTACTTGATGTTTAGCTCTGTACATTGATCTTCCGCACATTGATACATCAAATGTTTTTTCTCCGCTAATTTGAGGTGAAAGCTGGAATGAGAATATCCCATCGTTAAAGCTTATGTTTTTGAAACTGTCGTACTTAAAAGTTGTTAATTCGAATTGTCCTTCGCAGCTAACTTTTACAAAAGGAAGAATGTATTGTGGATATTCATTCATTGGTTCAAAATACCTGAAATATATGATTTGACTTTCATTTTGTTCGGAAATATTTAAAAATTGAAAATAATCGAAATCTTTTGGACATTTTGCGTCTTTTTGGAAAGGATTATACGATCCTCCATTATGTATATACGACAAAATGCATATTATTGTTGAAATTAAGATAAAAATCAATGGCTTCTGCTTGAGTTTATTATCTTTCTTTCCCAACAAAATGCAAAGTGAACAATTCTTGCTCCTTTCATCAGTTTATATATAAGTGTGGCTTTCGTTTGTATATTTTATTGGAATGATATTTGCTCAAATTGAAATAAAAATGAAAACACCTGGATTATCATTGTATTCGGCAGATTATATGATAGATATCTCATATTCAGTTACCAATTAACATTTAAATCATTGAATCAACAAATAGCTTCGACTCAAAGAAAAGTTCACTTTTTCTTTGTTTCCTGGCTATGCATGAGTAAGACGAGCTATATCTTTATTTTTCGAAAAGTTGCCTTTTTTTAGAATTATTATTTTTGCACTTTTTGTTCGTTGAATGAGTTTAGCATCTGGATTCACTTCAGTTTTCTGCTCAAGTGAAGACCCGAGCTATCCATTTGAAAACTTATTCAAGGACGATATTCCAGCTGGTTGGATTTCAATGCCAAATCCTTCATTTCCAATAGAATCTATTGTTGACATGAAGGCGCCATTTGTTATGAATGGCTTGGACATTGTAAGTCATGAATTTATGATTGCTAACAGAATTGATTTATTCGGAACACTTGACGAAAAATTAGATAAGAAAACTCAGTGGTTTTCAATCGGATTTTTCACATTCAACACAAATCAAAGAAGCCAATGGGTTGCTCGTGAACTTAAGCACGTAACAATCGAAAATGTTACAGTCAGATATCTTCGAATTTTAATTGAAGGTGTCCATGATGTTCCGCCAAATAGAGACAACAGATGTGCTCTCATTTCGCTTACATTCAATGGACATAAAGAAATTAAGCCTAGAATGACAGGATTATCCGAATTAGTTGAAGATTTAACAAATGCTAAAATAGCAGCAGTCGAAGAAGAAAACTATTCTACTGCAGCGCAATACAAAGATCAATTACTCAATATCGAAGAAAATAAAGACGAATTAACAACATTATTTAACCAAAAAGTTGAATTTCTCAAACAAGAAGAATATCTCGAAGTCGAAAATGTCATGCAACGAATCAACTCGATCATTAAACGTCCGCGCGATGAAATTGAAGAGCCAATTGAAGAAATACCTCAACATCCGATCACAATTACCGAACCAATACCAGAACCTATACCAGAACCAACACCTCCAGCTGTTTCTGTTGAAGAACAGCCACTCCAAGAGATGCCTCAAACTGATACTCTTATTCAAGTCAATGAAGATGCCGGATTCTTCCTTACAGGCTTCGACAAGAACACTACAATTGCTATTGCACCAGAAGAGCCCGTTGAGCAGCCTCCACCTGAAGAAATCCCAGAAGAACCGCCTCAACCATCTCCTGTTGAAGAAGAGCCAGAACCGCTTCCTCCTCCGAAGAAACAAAGGTCTATCGATGTCCAAGACTCGCCAAGACGCATCGCGCCGCCTAAAGAAAGGGTTCCAAGATTCAGTAAACCTCCACCAGACTCTCCACCGAAGAATGATACTCCTGATGAGTTATCTGATGAACATAAGAGTGAAGCTGCAACTTTGATATCGTTATTCGGTGAAAAAGTTGTTGCAATCGCTTATTCCCAAAATTGGTCGCTCAGAGTTCAAGGATTGGAGAAGCTTTGCGAGTTGATAAAAGGCCTAAAGACGAAACCAGAACAGACGCGTGCTCTAAGTGGAATTTTACCTTTAATGAGAAGAAGATTCGGAGATGGCTTGAAAGCAACGTATTGTGCGGCCGTTGAACAGATGATAAATATTCTTGAAGCCCTCAAAGTCGAAGGAGCTGAGCTCGGATCTGCTGTCCACGTTTTGTTTCCGATCGCATTATCAAAAGTAGGAGACACAAACGTCAGAATTGATGAAGTATCGAATACTTTTGTCCTTTGGTGTGCAGATAAAGATAAATGGGCAAGAGAAGAGCTTCAACAATACGCAATTAAGTCTCCACCATCAAATCAATACCATCTTCAAAAGGCCAAGCTAATATTAATCGAGAAAATTATCGAAAAATACGGAATTGGTGATAAAGGTAAGGTAAAACTTGGAGAAGTCATGGGATTAGTTGCTCCTTGCTTAGATTCACGTAAAGAAGAGGTCAGAAAGATGGCAATCAAGTTAACAATCTCGTTGCAACAAAAATACGGAACTGCAATTGAGAAATACATGAAGAACGTTCCAAGATTAGTTAAAGACCAATTGGCAGCTGCCACAGCAAATACAGATGCGCATTAACATTCTAATGGATATATAGATGTATTGTTTTATTGTTATGATATACTTTTATTTATTTTATTTTGTTAATTTAAACATATCTATTTATGTGACTTGTTTAATCAAAGATAGTTATTTGTGTGTTAACTATTAGATGATGACCTTCTTTATTCATTATTTAATTTGTATGAATGCGGAATATTAACTCGAGATCTTAATAACTAAGATCGAACTAGAACTCTGATACAAGAATTTAATTTTTCATGCATAAAAACTATATGATCCTTGAATTTTGCTTCAACAAATCAATAATTTTTTTATTGAGATTAAAATTTAACATCAAAATCTAAAAGTTTAGAGAAAAAATATTCCAAATCTAGGGCTGTACAAAATCGAGAAAAACATTGCCGTGCGGTAATATAGGGTCAAAAAAATCGCGCCTCAGCGGCTCCGCCGCCTCGGCACTATTAAGTGCGCATTATATTTAATATGTCCTTCTTTTTTTTTCTTTTTTTTCTTTTCCTTTCCTTCTTCCTCTCCTTCCTCTTCTTTCCTTCTCCTTCTCTTTTTACAACAACGTCGAAGATCTTCAAATTTGATTGTTGGAAAAGCATCTATTTCAGATAAAGGATGCCTTTCTCACAGTCAACATACGAGGGTCCTGGCTGAAACGTTCTCAAAAAGCCTGAGATGGTAATTCTCTGATCACTCATAGCTGGGCAGGTAGTCATTGCTGACAATACCTGTCTTTATGCATGCACGCTTTCGTGTATATGGGTTTACACTATCAATTCGCAAAGTTGTTCGGAATTCTTCCAAAATGGAAGGACCCGAAACAACTTTGCTTGTTAACGATACAGACGCATTACTTTGCATTGATACTGTGCTGAGTTGTGTAGAAAGTTTGATTAGAGTTGTTTTGTTCTGGTATCTCTCATCTTCTAATGAGAGAAATCAAAGCAACACAACTCTAATGAGTTTGTTTTCACTCATTTGTATGTAGGTTTTTAGTTCGATTGGAGCTGCTTCATAATGAGATCTCTCATCAATTGATGAGGGAGATCATAACAAAGCAGCTCTAATGTATATGCTCGTATTAACCGGGTTGTAATGCGTTGTAACGTCAGCTTGTAGTTCGTTTGGGGCCACTTCACATTGAGATGAGAAGAAATGATTAAAGGACTCTGAAAGGCTTTGGCCGTTGATGTTGTAATCGCATTACTTGGAACTAGCTGGATGCTAAGCTGTGTAGAATGTTCGATTAGAGCTGTTTTGATATGATTTTTCTCATCATAAGATTGGAGGAATATCATAGCAAAACAACTCTAATGGGTTTACCATCATCTACTTGTATGTAGATGTTTGGGAAATTGTCTTGTTAATCGATTTTCGAGATGACTTTCAAATGCTATCATCAAATGACAAACAAGTCTAAGATTTCTCGACAATACATCAAATCATGATGTTTGTAAGTGCGATGAGATTAGAGTTTTTGAAGGAATGACAAGAGAAGTAGGGAAGCTCGGCATTCGCCGAGCAAATTAAAAATTAACGTATGGATTAAATTTTAAGAGGAATTCAATTTTAATTACGGGTTGTTCAAATATTAATTAATATAAATTTATTAATAAGAATAAACAATTTTTGTTTTTGAATTTATTAAATTTATAGCTTTAAATATAGTTTCAAAATTGTACAACTATGATTATTTCAACAAAAAATATCTTACTTTTTCACTTCACTTTCACCCTCACTTAGTAGTATATGTGGAAGGGTTGTGTGACTTTTTTTGTAAACGTAAGAATTCATACAATATTGAACGATTTTGTATCATTTTTTTAACATATGAAGTAAAAAATGTATGATTCTTACGGTTTTTATTCTTACGTTTTTGATTTCATACATAAAAGAAGCTATATATATATATAGATGATGTCAGGTTATTCAATAATTAAACATTGTTTAAATCCTGATTGGAATCAATGGAGTCATGAATGAGTAAAATAAACTTTAAAAATAAATTGAAACTAATGATTATTTGAATTTATGAAATCAATTATTTGATTCATTCTTTCTTCAATAATTTCTATTCTTTTTGTTAAATCATCTATTTTCATTAATGAGGTGATTCTTGATTGAGGAATAGATTTCAAACTAATCACCCCTTTTATTTTTGAAATTTTGAATCCATCAACTTTAAACATTTTATTCAATTTACATGTTGTCAATTCTTCAAATAATTTTTTATTATTAGCATAATAGTCATTAAATTCTTCAACAGATGAAAAAATTTTTATTTCAGTAATTGGTTTAACAACGTTTATTTTTTGTTGAACATCTTCACTTTCATTTATTTCTTCCTCCTCTGTTTCATTTATTTTTAAAATCGGTTTCATTTATCATTAAATAAAAATTAGAATATAAGTGATGAAATATATTTTTTAATTAATATTAAATCAGAAATGGCGGCAGGATTCTTTAAAAAATTATGGGATGGAATTAAGAAAGCTGCGGGTTGGGTTTATAAAAAGGTTATTAAACCTGTTGCAAACTTTTTGGCACCAGTAGCGAAAACGGCAGGAACTATCATAGGTGGAGTATTAGGTACAAAAGCAGGTAATCCAGCGATGGGAGCACAAGCAGGTAACGCAATTGGTGGAATAGCTGAAGGAATACTTAATAAAATAGGAGGTAGATAGTGTAAAAATAAATAAATATTATTTTTATCTTAGTATCGGTTGTAGTCTTTGATAAACTTTTTCTCCTTTATTTAATATTTCTCTTATTGGGGTGGCTTTTGGTGTTATTGATTCAGCAACGTCACTAATTGCTTCTTTATTCTTAAATATCCAATTTGCTCCTTTCTTCATTGTTTCCCAAACTTTATGCGCTCCTCTTTTTACTTTATCCCACAGTTTCTTAAATATACCTGCAGCCATAGTTGATTATTTCATTAAAATTAAAAATTCATTTTCATCTTTTAATTTTGATTTTTTATTTAATAATAAATGACGACTAACTATTTGGTGCCAAACACTAAACCAATTAATGGAAATGTATTTCATTCATTCGAAAAGATAAATGAAATATTCGCAAAGAATGATGGTAGAAGATATTATAGAGAACTTGAAAGTTCATGCTATGACTCTGATACTCCATATTTTGATGATAAACAAACTCATTTAAGAATTACAAATCCAGCTCATGATGTGAACCAATTAGGTGACACATATATTAAACGCAAAGTTAAAGCAACTCTAGTTTCAAATAAAGCTTTCACATGTGATGCCGCTTTTAAATGCATGCGTTTATTCGTTGGTTACAAATCATCAAATCAAAGCTTTAAACAATTAGAAGTAGAAACCGAAAGAGGTGATGCCGGTTATCTTCAAATGGATTGCGCCCGTGAATCTTTCGCATTTGCAACATATAAACCAAAATCGGAAAGGAAAGTTAAAAAGTTTGTTCATTCGTTATATAATAATGTTCAAAAATATGATAACTCAGTATGTGTGTAAATATATTGACCCTTCAGAAGTTTTCAAGAAAGCAAATGAAGAAGTTGATATCACTTTTGATATGATTATTCCGGTAAACGATTTGTTAGCATTTCAGGCGTTCGATGATTATCCTAAATCATTTGGTAAATCATTCTTAAATATTATGTTTTCAGGGATACTTTAGTATTTTGTCAGGTTGACCCGTTAAGAGTTGCTGATTTACAAAATTACGTTTATGAAAAGATAACTGATGAAAATTATGAAAAGATTATGAATCATGTTTATAAATATGATCGCAAATTCCAACAAATCGGACTTCCTACCAAATTAATTACAAGCTTAGCCGCTACATCTGCTGACGCAACAGTTGATGACGTTATTATTTCATGCACAAAGATGGAAGTTTTAGAGGATAAATGCATTACACCAGGATACGGTTTAATTGAAGAATCAGTTAAAGCAATACCACGTTTATTTAGTAAGGAAGATCCATTCATGATTCCAGCTCAACATATTGACGTTCGTTCACTAAATGGAGGTTGCATCACTCCTGAAGGTATTAGCTCAGATTTCTCATACGCTCTTCATAATGTTACAGATGTTGTGTTAACATTTCCGAAGAATGCAATGCAAAGAACAGTTTTAGAAATCCAATGCTTCGAGGTCTTCAGGTCACTATAGATTCCAGAAACTTCCCCGATCAAGCGATGACCACAGTGGGTGACATATTCTTTACACGTATGCTTCAAGCTTCTGATTTAGATGGAGTGAATGAATGCACAGAAGAATACGAGGACTCATTAACTAGACCACTGAATGATGATAATGGCACGCCATTAGCTAGAACATGGAAAGACCAAACTTCATTCTTATGCACTATTCCAGTTCAACGTGATGGAGCGGGTATATTCTTTGATGGATTAGAAACTTTCAACTCACAAGTTACAGTACAAGTGAAAGCTTATCCAATCATTCAAGGTGAAAATGACACTTACTGTTCAAAAGTGACAAATCCTCCTCAGGTTTGGTTTACTAGGACTACGTATTGGACATGGACACCGGACGAAGGTTTGAAATATCATCCAACAGGTACACCACCACAGTATAGAAGTTCATATGATGAAATATTGATGAATAGAAATGTTTAAAATTATAAATTTATTTTTGATTAAATGGATTTCAATTCTGAAGAATTAACAGATGTATATAATACATACGTAGATGATATGATTAATGAAGCATTGAGTGATAATAGAAATGCTCTATCTAAGGAAAAATTAATGAAAATTCCATATTCTGAATGTTACTTAAATTCAATCACTGCAGCAATTGGTAAACAAAATAAAGGTAAAACATTAACGATATTAAAACAAATTATCATTATTGCTAACACTTCCCCTCATTCACATGTGTTAATTTATATCAACCGTTCAGGTTCACCTTCAGATGATACATTTGAATCTTTAAAGCATTTAATCAAAATTCCAATTATTTATTTATCACAAGAAGAAGCAGAAGATTATTTAAAAAACTTTTTAATGTATAAAGAATTATATAATACAATCAAGAAGCAAGGATTAGAGGATAAAATTATTGATAAACAACGGGATGAATTATTTGAAACACTTTCTATTTCAAATTTTGATAGAGAATTTTGCATTCACTAATTTTTCTAGATGATGCCGTGAAATCAAAACTAATAACTAATGAGAAATCATATTTTAATCAGTTATTAACTCAATGTCGACACATTCAGTGTTCATTCTTCATGGCTGTTCAATACTTCAAAGCATTAAGCACAAACATTAAATCAAATCTATCAACACTTTTCATTTTCAGTGGGTTTAGTCGTCAACAGTTGAACGTTATGCTTTATCAAGTGAATTTACCAATGAGCATTAATGAACTTTACACACAATATCAACAATTAGGTGAACATGGAAAAATAATAGTTGATTTAAATAAAGGAGGTGTTAAATTTGATTAACTTTTTATAATTAATTTTTATTTTTTATTTATAATTAAACATGACAGAAATAGCAAATCTTCTACAGGTTCCATTAAAACAAGGGACAAACAAAAAGGGTGCATATTATAATAGAACTATGAAAGTTCCAGATGGAATGAAAGAATTAGTTCATATTGTTGCTGGTCTTCAAAAAGATGTTAAACAAATGAGAAACGTTTTAACATTACCAGAAGCTCAAGCATATGCCAAACGTCATGGTCCAAATTGGGAAGCACATGAAGCAGACATTACAGGACCAAATGGAAAACCTGATGGTATAAATGAAGTTTTCGTTACTGATGGTCAAGGTAATATTAAAGTCATAAATGGTTATAAATTAACTGTATCTGATTATCCTAAACGTAAAGCATATAATGAATGTTATCCTATGCAATTTGATGAAAATGGAAAAGCTGTTAAACAATACATTGGAGAAGGTGAAAATGGTCCAATGTATTCATACCATCTTATTCCATATTCTTATTTCAATGAAAAATTAAATGCTGTTGAAGAGGGACCGGATGGATTACCACGATATGTTAATCAGTTTGATGGTCAATATGCAAATTTGAGACCTGAAATTCCAGCTAAGAAATTCTTTAAAGTTGCTTTATTCGATCCAGTGTTCAATGAACAGAAAGAAGCAATGAAAGCAGAATTTAAACCAATTCAAGTGGCAAGAATTTCTTCATCTTCACTTTCAGAAGCGTTCAAGGAATTGATAAAGAAACCACTTTATTCTCAACAAGGTTATAACTTGATTTAATTAAAGAAAGTGATAGACGTAAATTAGAAAATCAGATGGTTTTAAGAATGCATGTAATGAAATGATTAAAGATATTGTAAATGATAAAATAAGACTGGAAGAAACTCAAAGCAATATCAATAACATAATTGGTGCAGTTACAAAGAAAGTATAAGCAAACAATGATGAACCTTGGGATATTACCGTAACAACTAAATAAAACTTTAAAATATATTTTTCTTTTTTTTATTCAATTATAAATGAGAAGACGTTTCACAAGTCAAAAGAACACAAACGCAAAAGCAGAGATTACGTTGGTTATAACGTAAATGATGATAAATCACGAATTATTCAAAATGTTAAAGTTAATGTTAGCCCTGAATTAACAAGGTCAGCAACTCAACCAAATTTATTAACTCGTGACTTACCGAAAAAGGAGGAGGAGCAAAATAAAGAAGATGGAGACCCAATCATTTTATCTGAACCCGGTAAAGAACCCGTTGAAATTCCCACTTATCCAACATACCCCCCGCCTCTTTCATCAAACATCGAGAACCCAGGAATCTACGATTCCAGTCGCAATGCGCCATATAAAATAGACATTAATTCAGAATTAATGAAAATTTACCGTGATATAATAATTAATAATTATGATTCAATAATAAATTTAATTGACCAATCTGGTTTAATTATTTTACCTTATGAATCATTAATTCACATTATCGCCATTCTTTGTGATGTTCAAGATTCAGACGTTAAGATTCAATTTTTCATAGATGATGAGGTTTCATGCTGCGGAACAGTTGCAAAAATAAATCCTATAAAGGATATTAGCACAATTAAGATATCAAAGAACGGAACAACAACTGAACTTCATTTAACATATAATGATATTTATAATAAAATAGTTGATGAATATAAAATATCACTTGAAAAATTCTTTGTTAAGGCTATTTAATATTCAAGCATTAACATTATCGAATAATAATCCTTTGAATCATAATCAATAATAATTGACCTTTCACCAGTTTCTATCGTTTGTTTTATTTCTTTTTGTTCCCCACTATCCGGATCGGTCATTGTAATTGTTTTTGTTATAGTATCAGCTTTATCTTTAACTTCAATCTTTTTTCCATCAGGATATTTAAACCAAAATTCCAAAAATTCGATATTGTCAATCTGTTCATATTTTAATCTATCAATTACATTTTTAATACCATCTGAAAATCTTATGAAATGGTCATTATATGGGTTTGATTGAACTAAATTTGAATGAAGTGAAATATAACCTGTTGATGAATATGACATTGACTCATATTTTCTGAAAACACTAAAATTTATAACATGAATGAATTTCTTATTCGTTGAATTTATGAATTCTTGAGGTAATCTTATCTAGTTTTATTTATCACTGGAAAATAACGCTTTACCATATTTTTAATCGTAATAAAAATGTCAATTATCAATATTATTTCGAATAATAACTGTGAATTAAATTTAACAGTTAGCGGAATTTATAATGTTACTCTCGTTTCTGTGAGTGGTAAATTTAATCCCATTCTTTTAGACCCTTCAGATTATATATCATTTATTAAAGATGACCATGAAAAAACGTATGATATGTATATAAATAATGTGATAACGAAATGGGATATTAACATGATTTTAAGTTATTTAAATGAATCATTTATCGTATGGTATGAAGAAAATTTTAAATCAAAACCTGATAAACTTTTTGAACTTGATGAAATAAATAACCTTATTAAATTTCCGCTGAAAATTAAATTTTGTACTCCTCATCTTCGTTCATTGTTGGGGATATTAAATTTTGAAAAAGATGTTGGGGATGTTTTGTATTCTGACACTGGTTCCAATTTCATTTTAATCAAATGTGATAAAGTTAATACCCCAATGAGATTTTCACATCAAACATTAGACCCTAACTCTTACCCATCAATACAAAACATTTTATCCATCAACTTAAACACATTTTCTTTATCATATCCGTTTCAATTATCCGGGAATTCATTTATTCTTCATTCAAAAGATTTATCAAATATTAAATTTAGAGTAACTGACCTATTTGATTGTGATTTAGAATTCATGAATGAAATATTATGGCAATTTCAAATAGAAAAAATAGGTGATGAGATAACGGATTAAATATTTATTTTTAAATCATAATAAATGATTAAACAACAGCAACCACAACAACTTAAGGCACAAAGCACCCAGGTCCCTCAGACCATTACATACGCCATATAT